AAAGAGTGAGTCTAAAATATGTAGCCCTTTGAATCTCTAGGAGCTTCCCACTGACTGGGGGACAAGGGTGGAAGAGGGTCAGGTCACAGAAAATGTGAGATGTCCTACCATCTGGTGGGCTTGCTTGCAAACTGGGGGCTACATCCATTGTCTACACCTCAAGGGGTCTTGATGTCCAAGGAGAGCAGTGTGACAGCTCCCTGCCTATTGTGCTTTCAGGGCTGGCTCTTGTTTCCCTTCTAAAGCAATGGTGCAATGCTTTTCCCTTTTGCCACGCTAGGGAGTCTTGGCTTTTCAGGTATATCCTCTTTCAAATGAGGAAAACTGTGCAAGGGGAAATGAGAAAAAGAAAGAGAAAAAAAGAACAAGAAAGAAGAGGGAGCCAGAGGAAGGCACTGGGAAAGAAGGAGCACATCTGCAAGAAAGAGGAGGAAGCCAACTTGGCCTCTCAGCTAGTGCCTAAGAGCCTGGTATAAACTGGGACTGCCTTCACACCGGCGTGTGAAGCTCTGAGTCAGACACATTCCTCCATGCAGTGGGCAAGGCAACTCTCCAGGGGCTGGTTCAGGGGGGCAGAGCCCACCTCTTCAGAGTCTCTCTGAGCTGAGAGGACACAGACCTGGGAGAAGGAGAAATCCACTTGTCCGCTGAGTCTGCTGGTTTCTGTGGGCACAGTGAACGCTGGAGAAGCAACAGGTGAGGAGCTGCTGAAGACCAGAGACATTTCCTCCTGGCTGGCAGAGAATATTTTGCACCTATTGGTCTTGAAGGGGAGGAAGGTGTCTCCTTCTCAACCCCTTGGTTAAGGAAAACTACTGGATGAAGCTTGTAATGGATAAGATCAGCAAAATGGACTGGGCAGTTGGAGGTGAGGAATAGACTTCTCTGGAGTAACCTGTGTCTGCTGAACTCTGGCCATTCTTCCCTCTCGTGTTAAGGCTAGACGTGTCCCATACAGCAAGGCGGGAAGGCAGAGGGAAGGAACAGGTCTCTGACAGCCTGACTTGTTCTTGCTTGCCCTACCCAGAGATGTCTTGTGATCCTTGCTCCATGAGCGCAAGGCCTGGAGAGAATCCCGAGGGTGGCAGCTTCTCGGAGGAAAGCAGTGGCGGGGATGATGGCAGTAGTGTGCTGGGAGGGGACAGCCCAGTCACAGGGCCGCTGGGCGCAGTGCTGCTGGTCATGTGCCTCACTGGGATGGCGGGGAACATCTACACGGTGGTGGTGGCCTCTGGCAGGGTGGCGGGGCGCTCAGCAGGCTCCTTGGGGGTCTATGTGATCAACCTCGCCCTGGCCGACCTCCTGTACCTCTCCACCATCCCCTTTGTGCTCTGCACCTACTTCGCCCGTGACTGGTTCTTTGGGGATGTGGGCTGCAGGCTTTTGCTCAGCCTGGACCTCCTCACCATGCATGCCAGCATCTTCCTCCTGACTGCCATGAGCCTGGAGAGGTACTGGGCGGTGGCCAGGCCGCTGTGGGCCAGGCAGGCCG